GCCTCAAATATTTATACAATAATTTATTTTTGCGCTAGTCAATGTCTTGACGAACTGCGCCTATGCAGCACATAAAAGCTGGACTAAATTCCAATACGTTTCTGTAATTTTTTATACAAATCCATTTTACAGGAGTAAGAATATATTCCATTTATCCATTTATAAGCCTTATGGAAATGTTCAAGCATACCTAATGATTCTAAAACATTTAGAAAACACGGGTGGATATGTTAGGAAAAGATCACCAATCAAAAATCAAATAAAAAAAGACACCAAATATCTCAGATAGTATTAACATGTGATATATTCTGACCAAATATAATAATACGAAATTCAATTTTTGACACTAAGCGACTAAATCTAATTAAATAATAATAATCTAATAATTAATGATAAATAATATTAGTAGATTTTCAATTAATGGTCATTCGTTGAGCACAATTCCGAAAATTTAGACAAGTCAACTTGCAGAATAAAAGAGCCATCAATCGAGTTAAATATTTTAAAATCGTCAGCAAAAACCAGGAGAGACTAGAAGAAGAAGACGGATTAAATTATAAAAATACAATGTAACCAATTAAATTTACTAATTTCGTGGTCCGCTTGACCAATTAATATATTACAATTAATTAAGGTTTCTAGTTGAGATAAAAAAGTCAATGGCACGAGCGAGATTCGAACCCACGATCTTCGGCTCGATACGCCGCTGCTCTACCACTTGAGCTATCGTGACCTCGATCCACTCGGACACTAACTTCCCATCTCAACCCCACCTTTTGAATTTTCCCTCCTTTTTGCTATATTTCAAATGTCGTGTAATCAGATTGGATTCTCGGCGACAAATGAAATGGCCACGGAGAGCTTTAGTGAAGTATAGTTCATTTTAATTCATTAAATTCACTAATATCGTGGTCCGCTTGACCAATTAATTAATTGTAATATATTAATTTGTCTTAATAAAATGAAGTATACTTCACTAAAGCTCTCCGTGGCCATTTCATTTGTCGTCGAGAATCCAATCCGATTAAACTACATGTGAAAAATGGCAAAAAGGAGGGAAAACTCATAAGGTGGGGTTGAGATGAGAAGTTAGTGTCCGAGCGGATCGAGGTCACGATAGCTCAAGTCGTAGAGCAGCGGCGTATCTAGCCGAAGATCGTGGGTTCGAATCCCGCTCGTGCCATTGACTTTTTTATCTCAACTAAAAACCTCAATTAAATGTAACCAATATCGGACCAAGGTGGGAACCCTGGAGAATGCCCGAAGTCGCAATCGAAAAGTCGCCGCGAAAAAGAGCCTTCATCGTTCAATAGATTATATAGGTATGAACGAATCCATTTCAAACTATTTCTTTGAAAACCTAGACATCGTATAGACAAGAGAATTAAATGCCTTTGACAAATCTGTGTGCGCATCTAACTGGAAACCACTTTCTATGTTATTGATAATAACCTATTTCAAAAGTAACATTCGTATTTGCGCTGTAGTTTAGAATCTTTAATAATAAATATTATAATTTTTACACGTAGATCCAATAAATTTTATTGTGCAGTTCTTTATATGATGTGTGTTTCCATGGCTTATCTCTGTCAGGTACGATTTAATCATCAAATCTCATCGCGAGAAAGATAAATCATTAAATCCTTTTTATGGAGTAATAATAAACAGCTTATAGTTTTTATTTTTCCTTGGAAATTATATTCCTGCAAATTTCACGGAACTTTTGGGTAGGAGTACCGAAATTAAAACTTTTTATTTAAACATTTACCAATCTTAGAGCAAGATGGAGAACATTCAGAACAGTATTTATATATCAACATGCTGAGTGGATGGACTCAAATTATTGTAAATAAGACAAAATAAAAGATTTTGGAAAGCTGAGTTGCCTTAGGACGTCTGGGTTCCTGTACAGATCAATACCAGCCTCCTATCGTTCATAAACAAATAAATATTCCTGGCCAACATACCGTCTAAATTAGGTCCAAATAAAACAAATTTATTTTTAAAATACAAAACACAACATGTTTTTAGTGTACCATAGTATTTAAATAATTATTTTATTGCATGTTAAAGGGGTAAAAGTGTGATTAACCTTTTTCAGTGGGAAGGCATTATAGAATCATAATCATTTATTTTTGAAATCATTCAATTATATATATTAATAACAACCTGGTATAATATTTCACTTAATTATTTATTGCGCTCGCTACAAATATTATATTCAGTTGATGTACTTTAACGCAAGAATAAACTGGATCACGGTATGATCATGACGAAGGTTCAACATCAATTTCTACTTCCTGTTTTACTGTTTTAAGATTATCATCAAGGCAAAACAATTTTAAATATGTATACAAATTGACATCATTAAGGTTTTAATATACACTAAATATTAGACAAACTTGAGTTCCTGCTAAACTTTCAAGCAAAAAACCAGGCAAATGATGTGTTCAATTTTGTTTATGACACACTTAAATTGCCTTGACAGCTTTTATGGTCAATGAATGATGTTTTATTGTTGCGTCATGTAATTATTGATTGTAAGTTAAGCGCCAAGTATTTGATGATGTATTTTGATTAGTTCTTACGTGCTATTATATTATTATTATTATTATTTACACTTTACAAAAATATAAGTACAAAAGGGTGAAGCACATTTTGCTGTAAATTAACTATATAACGTAAAGGGTTTTTATTTATTTATTTTTATTTTTTCCCTCTGTGTAAATATTGAGATATGTTTAAATTAGTTCTTTTTTTTACTTCAGATCAGGTGTATGATGCCAGTATTTTAATTTCTTTGTAAATACTGTATATATTTTGTAAATAAAAATAAATTTTAAATTTTAACTTTCAAATTATTTTATTATTATTATTATTATTATTATTATTATTATTATTATTATTATTATTATTAATTGATTTTGTAAATAGTGTCATGCCAATTTAAGTTGGAAGATATCTTTAATGATGTATATATCATTATTTTGCCATTCGGCTCCCCCCTATAATAGCTATTGCTGAAATACAGTATTAATCTATCTATCTATCCATCTATACCCTAAATAGATTTCAAATTTCTTTGAAAAACGACTAAATCCCAAAATTGCTAAGGCCTGTGATCTAGAATCCTGATTATTTATGAGTAAAAGCGTGGTCGATAGATCTAACACTTAAGAACAGATGTCTTTTCACAAATGAAACAAAAATTTAGTGTAGTAAAAAAAGTCAGTGTCACGAGCGGGATTCGAACCCACGATCTTCGGCTAAATACGCCGCTGCTCTACCACTTGAGCTATCGAGACTTCGATCCACTCGGACACCAACCTGCCATCTCAACCTCACCTCTCGAATTTTCCCTCCTGTTTGCCATTTTTCAAATGCCGTGTAATCCATTTGATTCTCGGCGACAAATGAAATGGCCACGGAGAGCTTTTGTGAAGATATACTTCAGTTTAATTATTAAATCCATTACAGTTCGTGGTCTGATTGGCCAATATTCGTATGAGCCATGATCCGATTCTGTACCCTTTCATATTCAACGGATATTCGACATTTTATGTTTTATTCACCTATCGAAAGTTTCCGTCATAAATCTAATCGTAGCTCTTGAATTATTCATTTTTCCGAATGAAAAACCGTGTGGTTAATTTAAATTTTTTACAATTAAATTTTTAGGGGTTTCGGCAATTTACACCCATCATTAGAATGGACAATATCTTTAAAAAACATAAGTATTAATAATTGTTAATACTTTACAAAAGAAAATATTGTAGACCTGATGATGGGTGTAGATTCCCGAAACGAACGAAAAATTGAATTGTAAAAACGAAAAGAAAAAATTACATGGAATAGTTAAGACTTAAACAAAATATCCATGTTATATAATAAAAATTATTTACTTTCAATTCTACATAAATCCATATTTTTTATTATCGCGGTTTATGGCGGCTCTTCAGTTCTATTTCGCATTGGTTTTCCATCCTGCAGCTTTCGGCCAATGATATCAGTAAATCTTGGCAGATAGTATTATTATCTCGACTCTGTGAAAATGAGTTCTAGATGTCCTTGTTGTTAAAGAACGGCTCTTACTGTAAGTCCGTCTCGTTTGTAATGAAATAAAGCACATTTAGACTTGCTTCGCGGCTTGATGGCGTCAAGGGGGGGAAAGTCCCGTGACAATTCTCATGCTCAAGAGCTGAATTTGCTTTCGAGGCCGAAAGAACATTCCAAATTACCAAAATTTACCGACAGGCATACCTTTTCTTCCCTCCCGGAATAACGCACACCGTACAGAAATTTTGTCAAAATTGCAAGCATATTAAACTAATTTTAGATAGAAAGGTAAAATGATTGCATGTAAACCCGGTATAATCGGTGTTGTGTTATCTCGTATCAAATTTTTGTATAAAATATATAATTTCATATAATAAAGAATGTTCAAAATATTGGAATCGTATGTCTAAGAATACCAGTCTGGTTTCTTTTGAATCGATCGGACATCAGTAAAAGCACAGGGGGAAACGGAGACGTGCGTATTGGCCTGTTGAAAAGTTCCTTTCTTCTCCCTGGTCATACACGCTCCATTTCTCCAAAATTGAACTTCATCCCGTTTCATTCCCCCATAGAAAGTAAACAACCGGAGTAATTTTAAATGTGTCCACAGAAACGGAAACGTGAAACAAATTATTAATTAATCAAGCTTGTTTGAGATAATGAGACTAAGAAATAACGCAAAAAAATGAACGCTTTAAAAAATCTTTTAGCCCATAGAAGCAATAATTACAAAAACGAACAAAGAATTCTGTAATTAATTTTCTTTAATAGTCAAGTCTTTTAATTAACTTTGATTTGCTAATCGGTATTTTTAGTCGACTTAAGAAATTAAATTAGAACGCAGCTTATGAATTCAGTAAACATTTAGTCGCTTTTCTCCGTTGAACCCGGACCGACGGAATTTATTTATGATTGTCAATAATCTCAATTGTACTTATTTTCAGGGTCGTTCGGTCGTTCTGGTGAACTGTCGTTTTTAGAAGAGCCGACAGCCGAACAGGAAGTGAACGAAGGGGAGACGGTCGTCCTCGACTGCAAAGTCCCTCCGGGGGTCGTCGTCCACTGGGAACTTCGCGGAGTCCCACTTGACGCTTCGCCAAGAAGATTTATGAATGGCACTGATTTAGTTATCGCCAAAGTGCTCCACGGCGAGGACAGAGGGCCTTTCACCTGTGTCATATCCGACAAGAGAACCGGTTCAGATATTGCTTCAAGGCCGGCATATCTGAACATTAAATGTTAGTGTTTTTATTATTACAAACAAAAACATTTATTAGGGCGAAAAAATACATTTGATGGTGATAAGAGAATTATTGATACAGAAATATAAGCATATAAACAATGTTCTTTATACACTCAAAGGCAAAAAATGGACACTTGTATTTATTAGTTTAATTTCCATAATAACTACTTATGAAGATTAATAGTTGTCTTAAAACGTGAACACAACATTAATAACTTGTTGGTAACCTTTACTACCTTTTACACTCACTCTTTACATTAAAAAATAAGGAAAATCAAGACAATTTTATCCATTATTTCCAGAGCCAGTTTGTCAAGTGTGTTAATTAGATTTTTATATTGTATCCTTTGATCAAACAATAAATTTATATAAAAAATTTCGCCCGCCTTCGCATTGCATGATCTACATATGGGATCATCATTGTATATGGCCATGTTGGGTAGATGATTTCTCAGATGCCAGTGACCGGTTAATAGTCCTATCACTCCTTTGAGTTTATAGCCCTCTAACTAGCAGCGAGTTTGCAAGTTTGGTAAGGGTTGTTTTATATTAACTGTATCTGGCTTATTGTACTAGTTTCTTAGTTCACAGCAATCGGCTCGATCATTCTCTTAAGAAGTTAACTCTCCTTGCCGCAATTCCATTCCCTGGAATTTCTATGTATCCCAGGTTATGTCTCCATTTTCAGATGGGAGTGACCGCTTTAACTGTAACTGTAAGTTTGGTGAGGGTTTTTTTTAGAGTTTGTCGACTTTTCCGTTTGCTGTTTTAGGATCCATTTTGTGATGTTGGATTCTTCCTTCAAAGATGAGAGCCGGTTTAGTTTGTAGCAATGAGATGCTATGAACATGAGAAGACGTGGAGAATGCTTTCCTTCGTGTGTCACGCGTGAGTCATAGCCTTTTCAAAGACAATTAGTTATGGTCTGGGGTGAAATCACCGTCCAAATGATTATCATAAAGAATGGATCTTTGACTGCACTAAGGATGAGGGAGTCCTGATAGAAGCTGTGATCGCCCCATTTATTGTGAACAGCTTAGTGTTAATGAATGGTAATGGTGGACGGCAGTTAGCTCGAGCTGTCACCCATTACTTGGAATATGTCTGATAGGACGATGAATTATTCGGAAGTGGTTTAAATTGATCAGCACGTTCTCCTGACATGAATCCCATAGAAAAATTATGGCACATGAAAAATACGACGGGTTTGGAATCTACCACCTTCAACAAGCGTTGACCAGCTTCAAACCGCTCTTGTTGAAGAATGGGATTCTATTTCACGAGACGAAATCCATCTACTTACTCAATGCCTCGGATTTTCCTACATTTTGGTGAATTTTCTTTCAACCCATTGTACTTAAATAATTTTTATTAAATGTCATGAATTTCTGATCTCGTTTCGTTTGGTTAACATTAAAATAAGTGTGTTATAAGTAATATAACGATAAAAATATATATCGTTCGATATAAACATCAAAATACGAGTGTCGTGTTTTTCTCTTTGAGTGTATTATTGCTGTCACTTGTTGGATTCATAAGAACATCTTGGACCTTCTATTCTTATTCGTTGTTTCCTGTCAGATATCTTTATTTCGACATTAGTTACTTCAAACATTTTCTTAAAATGTTTTGTTTTACTAGATTTTGTTACCTTTTCTACTATCATTTTCAGACCAACGTTTTCTAACTACCGTGGAAGCGTTTTTTTGCATAGTTTCTGAACACAATATCGGAACGGAAGTGGTTTAATATGTCTGTTTCTCTCTTCGTCGAGAAACTTGAGCACTTTTAATTGGCCATTTACATTGTCTATTGAGATTTTTTTTAACGAAGACCTTTGCGTAACTATCATTGAATTTTGAGAAAGGAATGAAAATAAATTATGTATAAATTATTATTCTCGTCCACTCTGCATATTCATTCTAAGCCTATTCTCTGATTTTGGTGAAGGAGTAAAGCTTATGCCCAATTAATGTTGTAAATATGCTCGTTGAAACTAACCGCTTCCTCCAAATTGAAAAATAAACGTAAAAAATACGTTTATACAGAAAAAGGTTAAAATAATTAGCATATAATTATAACAATAGAAAAGAGTTTTTTAATGCTAAAAGCATTTTACATTCATAATGATTCTCTCGAATGAGGAGAAAAGTAATTTCATAAATTTGGTTTTTATTCGCTTCCTTCATAACACTGCTCTGGTGCATTTTTACACATATGCCAAACTTTTGAGTCTGGCACTCGGGTTATCTTCAAACGAAAGCAGTTCCGACTCACTCCTTGTTACAAAATCCTAAAATCAGTATAAGATGCTGCAATGAGTTTTTGGAAATCAGACCCGACCGATCCTGATCGGCGCCCCACAAGGGAGTATCCTTGGTCCATCCTTTATGCCGGTTATACTGCTGATCTCTCGATACATCCCAACACCATCCTTACAACTTACGCGGACGATACTGCAATTTTAGGCTCCTAATCCTACCCAAGCCACCTCCAATATCCAGGAGCATTTTGAGCTCATTAGAATATGGTGTAATGATGAAACTGAACGAGGACAAAAATGCACCCAAATTACGTTCACGCTGCTATGACAAACGCAGCGACATACGTAGTGGAACTATTTGGTACCACCAAACCGCATAACATCCAACGAATTTCAATCAAAGCATTCCAATCTAAAGTTCTCAACAGAAGATTTCTCCAGACCCCGCACTATACGTCCAATCACACTATCCACTACGACCTTAACATCCCAATCGTCCTAGAATTGATCCTGTTCCTCAAATTCCATTCCAATCCTCATCCTAACCCACTGTAGCCCCTTCCACTACTTCCTATCCCATGAAACCTCCTCGTCGCCCCAAAGGACCATGTCACCAAGACCACCTAAACCGATAACAAACTGGGTTCCAGCAATCTCATAACTAGTGCCCTCCGAGTAGTACTGGCCCGTATTGTAGGTGTTTTACACGGGATTCTATACCGTTAATTACAATTTGTAATATGTACACTTCTTATACAGGATACAAATAAATATTATTTCACAAATTAGTTGGGTAGTGGGTGAAAATTCCTCGCTGAAGATGGTGTGAAGCCGAATCGAAAGTAAAGAAAATAGAATTATTGTAAAGATTGTTGTATGCTGATGAGGAAACAATGCTGCTTCAAAATATATACATTGTTAACGTATCTGTTTGTCATAAAAAAGAAACCAACAAGTTAATTTGGATAAGTTCAAAAATATTTTTGTCATTACTATACTAAATTGTTTTCAATTAGAAAAGTATTTTAAAAAGTAAAGTAATATATACAATGATGTAAAACAATTGGGATTACCGGTTATAACAATCTGAAAAGAAAATTATAATGGAATGCAACAACGAGAATAGACGGACCGAAAGCGACCAACCTATCTGATGTTGACGTATTTGCTATTTCAGGGTTGCAAGAAATGGTGACGATTCAGAAAGCATCAGACGATTCTTCGACTGTTGTCGGTGGAGACCTGCATTTAACTTGCCAAGTCGAAGGGACTCAACCGTTGAAAATACAGTGGTTTCGGTGAGTTTCATTCAGTTGAAAGTTGTTGGTTTTAATAACTGAATATTAGGTTTACCCCGCAAAAAATATATTAATTGATAAGTTTATGATTAAATGCATGAGGCTGCTGGTAAAGTATTTTGTACTGTTCTTGTCATAATAAAGGGTTATTAACCACAAGTAACCAAATTATAATTTTTTTAGATGTTTCACTAGGGGAGGAATATTTTATTATTCTATATTTTTTTCTATATTTACATTCATCAAACTTTTCGTTCTTTCTGCTATTATTCATATATACATACGAAGTATGTTGTTCTATTCCTACATGTTTGTTCACATTCCAGAAACGGAGACGGTTTGTTAACAGTAGAAAATGTGAACACCACCGGAAGAGATTTGGTAGTCAAAGGGCTCAAACCTCACGACAACGGAGTTTACAGGTGCCTGGCATCAAATGACGCTGGAACCGCACACAGCAGCAACAGGATCGTTGTCAACGTTCCAGGTAATCTTGATGAAATTGTCTGTAAAGTCCAAACTGACCAACTGCCTAATTTTCATTTGCACAACTAACTTATTTATATTTTGAACCTGCAGTAACCTGCCAACCTCACTGACTTTTTTATAAGACATGACTGAGGTAAGAGGTCTGTAAGACAAAAATCAGAGAGCTTAGGTAGACCAAGATGATAGGTAACTACGAAATTATAGGTTTGTCACCCAGCAGACAGAAGAAAATCTCATAATTATCTTGTTTCCAAATCAATGTCATACTACTAGCATTTAAAAACTTTCAAGTATGACTTTATGGTTAAATCAGTTTCAAATTTTAAGTCTTAGTTCAAACAATGTAATCTTCAAAGATTAAATTTTGAATAACGTTCTCAAAATTTGGCAAAAAATGTTCGCCCAGGTATAAATTATTTGACACTTTGATCGTTTCCGATCGTTTGGTCTGTCAATCACCAATGTTTTAGGACATAGACACCGACGTCATCAGACATGACCAAATTACAGGTTCATCGCTCTGAAGATCTCAAGGATCACTTTAATTTTTTTCTCCATTTCCTCTTGTTGTCTTTTTCGCGTATATTCTTTTGTGTCCTGGGATCATTACGTCTTGCCTATTTTAACTAGATGTTCAAGTCTTTATTTACCATCTTAAGTTAATGGGTCCGACATACAAATAAATACATCGAGAATAAGCGTACGTAGATCGACCGATATATAACGACTCAAATAAATTTTGTTTCCCATACGAACGGAATTTTGGCAAACATCCTCAAATTGTGACTAATGTAAAATAAATCGTTTTGACAGGTAGCCAGTGGGCGAGAATCGTTGTCGTTCCGGAAGATACCATAGCAAAGCCTGGTTCCGACGTCATGCTTAATTGTGCGTACCAGTTTGTCGATGTGATTGAGTGGTATTTCAAGCAAACCGGGCCGCTGGAAAATTCTACGAGGTATGGATTAATTATATTAATTAATATAACTATGTTACTTCTCTATATACGGTACAATACTCAAAACTATGTATATATACTGGAAACTACGGTTACTAGAGTATAATCTCGTCGTTTAGTGTGATGATTAATCAACCAAAAGTGGTGCTTTTTATATCAGTGTATGTAAAAAATAGTTAAATCCGAGATTTCATTCTTAAATTCTAGTAAATATTACAGGTTCAAATGCAGTAGTTCTACTGAATGTTTTAAAGGAATACATGCTAATTCAATTCTTAATGAAATTTGCACATTATTACACACATTTGCACATTATTACACACATTTGCACATTAGTACACAATAAAATCTAATGCAACAAATCGTCTAAAATAATAGAATAATAGAAACAAAAATTATTTGATTTGGAATTTGGTGTCATTGATAAAAAAACTAAAAACAGGAAAATTTCCTTCAAAGGGGCCATATCAGAAAGGATGGAATGAAATCAACTGCTATTAAGTTACCATAGGGTAAACCTTATAGATTACTTTTTAAAAAGATAGTTCCTACTCACTGTAAGTTGTTTTGCAAAGATCCGGATTTCGAGCCCTTTAGATAATCATCAGGTTGAAGGACTTCTACAACCACGTCTCTCGGCATGAATTATAAATGCCGAAAGACGTGTTTGTAGAAGTCCTTCAACCTGATGATGAGCTAAGGGCTCGAAATCTGGATCGATGCAAAACAACTTACTGTGAGTAGGAACTATCTTTTTAAAAAGTAATGAACACCACACTCACTCCATCATTCATCATTTCTACCTTATTGTGATTTGTTTGATATTGACGTATTTGACATTTCACACTTTGAGATGCTTATTTTATTTGTTAGTATAAAAATTAATAGTACACCATATTACAGTTAAAATATACCCAAATGTATCAATGTTTACAATTATTTCCATTCTTATTGTTCACGTTTTTCGTATTAATGACTTATTTAATTGTGATGTAAAATTTAAATGGCATGCCTTTAATAAACTTATAATTTGTCCCTAACCGATCATTTTCGTCTGCATATCCTGTCTGAGTGGTCTGTCAGGCGCATTTCAGCTTCTAGCCGTCATTAGAATGGCTATGCTATGATTAGTGCTGACTCTGTGTAAGGAAGGAAATAAATACAATTTGGTATTTTTAATAATGTTTTCGTTCGTTATATTTCGTTAATTTTGTTCCCGATCATCTTGGTTTATATTCACAGTGAAGTAGTGCTGCTAGAATAGTCGGACCAAAAGTGTTTAGTAACGTCCAAATTTCAGGTTTATCACCCCAAAGATCACATGGATAAATCCCACAAACTATAAGCTCCTTATTGAGCATATCTCTTTTTTTCGTTCGGTGGGCTGAGTCGGCATAGAAGCTTTCAATCAGCTTTCAAGAGCACTGTGGATAGGTAGCCCTCTGAGGATCTGACTCATAGAAAAGCCATTCTTACCCGATAGGTATGCGAGGTTGACACTCGGACACTTACTTTCGGGTCAAAGCCGCGTATGTGTCCGGCACACAGAGAAAGGTTGTTCGATGTAACTGGCCTTTAATCTATATAGGGAGCGTGTAAGAATGCAACCCGATATATGAACCGTGCTTGAGCACAGCAACGAGTAGTCCCTTAGTGCGTGAGAGCCCAATTCGTAATAATGAGTACCTCAAGGTTAGTTATATAATAGGTGTAATGGGTGATAAGAGAAATACCGTGTACTCACTACCCTAATTGGGTAAATGGTATGTAAATCGGAAAGAATGTATTTAAGACGGAGTGAGAATGTGAATGGGTTTTGATTTAGTTCTGCATGCGTTGGGTGCTGAAATTACCTAGGAGTTGACAGCACCCGGAATCCAACCTCGGGGGCGGGACGGATAAGACCAATATCTGACCCCTGACTACCGAAACCCGAAGTGGGTGTTTCTTGAAGCCTGCCGGTAATATATTGTAAATTTCAAAAGCTGGGATTGCCTGTGCGAGAAGCGGTAGGCTCAACTCTGCACATGTGCGGATTTGGATTTATATAAATAAAATTGGAGCGCAATATATCCTCCGCCGTGCTTTCAAAAAATATATTCTTTTAATCAGAACTTCGAAATTATAATTAATAATTCACAAGAGTAACAAATATGATCATCAAATTACAACATCGAAACTTCCTCGAAAGACCGATGAAGTCTTTTTGCATAGTTCTGCTGTAGCTAATTGTGTGTTTTTAGTTTTTTATCATTTATTTCGGTGAAAAATTGACCCAGAAACAGTTTCAACCAAAGAAAGTTAATATTTTACTATTCAAATTTACAATATGAATGAATTTTGAATCCAGAACGGATCCATGTAGTACAAGACAGAATGTCAGTCAGGTTCCACGAATGGAAAACGGACAAACGAAGGAATCTGGTTTTAAAACTCAGAAAACACGTGGTGATTGGTATTGAACAGAATTGTATATGAACGGGAACGGGTAAACTTTACAAGACCCTAAAGACTTGAAACGATTTCGACGGGCTTCTTGTATATTATTGTCATCATACAGGCCGCTGTTTGTTCCTACTCCCGCACTTGTAAACAGGACGGTCATTTTGTGTACGGCCGGGGAAAAGGGTTAAAGAGCTGGAAAAATACTCGTTCAACTCCAATTTTAGGGCCTTGTATAGAACGGAATCCCTCCAGCTTGACAGTGTTAAAAACAACAAAACGGTCATACTTTTTTTTGGTGGGAAGGGTTGAAGGACTTTGCATGCTGTGGGAGTCTGAAGCATTGTGAATTGTAAAAGGTTTCCTTTTTACTATGTTTATATAAAACCAAAGCATCCGATCTCGCTTGGAAATAATTCGATATATTCAATACACTTCTTTTTTAAAAACGGCTCTCTTTCCAGTTTTACCTAAATACACTCAAAGACAAAAAACCGGACACCCCTGTTTTGTTGTTTATTTCAAACTATATTATTGTTATCGTTATTTAATACAACATAATTTACATACAACATACTCAATGTTAACCAAATTAAACGACATCAGAAATTCATGTTTTTGTCTAACCCATCTCTTTATGATGGCCCATAAATGTTCTGGCTATTTATTATGTCATTACATCCTCCAAGCAATTAATGATTGTTGTCCACAATAAATGGAACAGATGGAGTCACGGCTTTCAGAAGAACTTCCTCAATGTACCTTAGTGTGCAGTAAAGATCCATTCTATGTATAATCAGTTCTGTACGGGCATGGACGTTGATTCCACCCCATATCTTAACTGTCTTTGAAAACTGCTCATGAAAAAAGCGGTCTACATGTCATCTCACAGAAGGTCCCGGTCAACTGCTTGCCAGAAACTAAACCGGCACTCATCTATGAAGAGAACAGCTCCATTGTTCAAACTTCAAGGATTCAATACGATGCCTCTCCAGAAGAGAACTTGATGCGGGCAGACTAGGTTATTCTCTCGAAGCCTTCTGACGACGGTTTTTAAACGGTTACGGACTGTTTGGAGTTACTACCCACCAAAGAATCTGTTAAAAATGACGGTTCCCTAATGCAGTAAAAGCAAAACAATGATCGTCTCTAACATTCGAACTTCGCGGTCGACAACTACCTTCATTTAGATCCTAAACTGTTTTAGACCAACGTGGATTGTTGACGCCCAGAACTTGGGCTATGTTATGGACACAACATCCGTCGTTGGCCAAAGCTGCTCAGGCGAGATCTCGACTTAAAACAAGCCTTTAGGAAAAAAAAACATTTTACTCAAATTTATTGTTTTATAAAAAAAATCATTTAAAAAATAACTCATTCTACAGTTGGCTGTGGAAAGGATAAAACTGAACTGATTTTTTATATTTTTAATCTAAAGAGTGTAAAAGAATCCTTTTACAACACTATTTATTAATGAATATTCGGAGATCGTGCGGTCTGGTGTGAGGTAAGTTTTAGAAAAACATTTTCTTTATCGTGCCAACGTTTCGAACTTTATTGAGATCATCTTCAGGACTCAAAGTGTTTGTTTTCTGCGTAATTGCCTCATTCTTGTGAGTCGTGTTGAGAGTCACACCAGACCGCATCTCACGATCCCCGAATAAACATTGAATAACGGTCACGAAACACCACACATGTTATTCATGTTGTACTTATGTTTTAAGTCAACTATTTAATTTAATAACTAATTATTACGGACAATAAACAAATTTTTTAGTCCTTGAATGTATAAAACAAAAACACAGATATGCGGTATCGTAGCATTTATGGAAGGTTAAGCTGGTAAAAATTCCTCTATTTATAGTTTAATAGTTACCTACATTTTAGTCTGCCTACCCTCGCTGATTTTTGTCAGCTAGATAGATAACTATTAAACTGGAGGTTTGTCACCCCGCACCCTACAGGAGGAAGTCTCACTCAGGCTATGTTCACAATGTCGATAGTATGGTAACGACTTTCTTTTTCTGTTTAGATTTTCCATCTTGCCCAACGGTTCACTAGTGGTTCGCAGTGTTTCAAAAGCTGAAGAAGGCCTCTACCTATGCGTTGGAATTAAAGCCGACAGCACTGAGATTCCCCAGGGTTTCTCTGGACGTTTACAACTAGCATGTAAGTATAAGCATACGTTTAGCTTATTTATCATCAAGCATATTGTAACGAACTTTTGGCCGTCCCTTGTAATTTGGAGGTTTACGATCATTTTCATCTTCCAATCCTCGCACTTTTGGTCTGGCAGTCGCGTTTGGGTCTGCGTATTATTTCACTTTATATACTTGACCATTGGAGACCGCGAGAAGCCTAAACACATCTAAAAGACTAAAACAACGAGAAAAGACAGGCCAAAATAATTATTAACGACCATACTACAATTTCATCACTGAGTAGATCTTAAGAGGATTTCTGACAAAATTTATGTTCAATTAATTAAGGTTTTAAGTTGAGATAAAAAAGTCAGTCACCAGCGGGATTCGAACCCACGACCTTCGGCTTGATACGCCGCTACTCTACCACTTGAACTATCGTGACTTCGATCACCTCAGGCACTAACTTCCCATCTCAACCCCACCTTTTGAATTTTCCCTCCTTTTTGCCATTTTTCAAATGTCGTGTAATCGGATTGGATTCTCGGCGACAAATTAAATGGCCACGGAGAGCTTTAGTGAAGTATACTTCATTTTAATTCACTAAATTCACTAATTTCGTGATCCGCTTGACCAATTAATATAGTCAAGCGGACACTGACGTTTTCATCTCAACTTAAAACCTTAATTAATTGAATGTTATTAATTGGTCAAGCGGACCTCGAAAAATAGTGAACAAAATTTATGTTTGTTAAAACAAGTCAACTATCTTCACAAATTATAGTCGTTTTTTGAGTAACTGGAAAAAAACAACTAGGATTTCATGGGCATTTCCCTTAATTGAACGCTGCCTGTATTAAGTGGGGCTATTTCATACAACCTAATACGACGTGTCCTGTTCACAAATGATTGATTGTTTTTCTATCAAATTTGGATTCATTCGGTCCGGAAAATATCGTTCAGTTGATTGTTTCTCATTCCTTAGGCTGGAAAAATGGATGATTTTTGCCATCATACAATCACCATCAATTTTTTCCTCTTTTCAGACATGATCAACTTTTAGTAGTTTGATATTAGATTTTTCAAGACTTAAACTTCGAGTGTTCATCCAGCTCATGCATGAACCACGAACGCGCTTTTTAACTTTTCTTCTACAGCTTACTTAAGACATCTGTTAACGAATATTTTGAAGGTCATCCAAGTTGGCTGTAAAACGACGTATCCAATATTTTTTAACTAAAACTTTACAAGCCTATGAATTTTCTTAGTAATTTGGTTTTTACTTATCATTATGTCTGTTTATCCTCACTGGTTTGATCTGTCAGACGCGTTACGGCATTTCGCCATCTTCAGTGTTGAGTCTGTGTGATTTATGTATTTAAGTCGTCTTTTAAAATGGTGGTGAGGGGGTTCTCCCTTTGGTGGATTATCTCAGGGTTATTTTATTGTAGTTCTTGTTGTCCGTTCTTTTTCTTAGTATTTTGAATTTTTTGTAAATAATATATTTGAACTGTTGTGTGTTCATATGTTATGCTTGATGTTTCCAAGTTTTCACTTACGTTATTTTTAGTCTTTTTGTACGTTGTGTGCTACTTTCATGTATGAGGGTTCGTCATGGATTCCTGTGAGGTGAGTCGCATAGTTTGATTTATGTTGTCTCTAAAGGTTCGATTACATTGAACGATTTTACTATCTACTGACCGGCGAGTTTAGAAGCGGGCGATAGTGATGAAGACAGACAAAACTTTCCACTCACTCAGTAACCAGCTACGTAGCAAGCTTAAACCATGAGTTGTAAATATGTTGTTTTTCTTTCATTTGCTCAACTTTTCTGTGAATTCTAGCGTTAAAAATGAAGTTGAACGAAAATAATCTTATTCTAATTAATTATACTTTTTATCTAAGGTCTTGGTTGAGTTGAAAAAGCTAGTGTCACGAGAAGGATTCGAACCCACGACCTTCGGCATAAATACGCCGCTGTTCTAACCACTTGAGCTATTGTTACTTTATCTCATACAAGACCTTAATACGGTAAATTATGACTACTAAATACATTTATGGATTAATATAGTAAATAATTGGTGGGATTTTTTAACGAGTACCATCAGGACACTGCGTTATGGATTAAAAAGACAGACTATTCGAGCACAAATTAAATTATGAAATTTGCCGTCTTTATAATGAACTTAATGAAAATTAAACGCTAAAATCAAATTTTTTAAAGATGTCTACAGACAAGAATTACACAAAATTTAAAAAAAGCAAGAAAAGTGGCTATGGTACCGACGGGATACACGCAGTTAGTTCACTAGCAAGTGTGATGACACACAGCTAGTTTACTAAACAAGCCAGCACGCCAACTAGTAGCGAGTAAAGTAGCCCGGCTTTCAACTTATCTCGCAGATTGTTTACAACTTGCTATGTTCATAGCAACATAATTAGGGCGAGTTTACTAGAAGCTAGTGAATTCGCCGACTAGTACCCGCTCTATGTAATCGAACCTACCTTTGCATATTCTTTGGACCAATCATTCGTGTATTTTGCCATCTTCAATGTTCGTTCGTCCGAATCGGGTCTGACAGATCCTAGCAAGTTCGGATAAAAAATCAATAACGACAAAATTTCAGGTTCATTACAACGCAGGCCAAACAGAGAAGTTTTAAAGCTATAACAAATAGTGGCGATATTTCAAGAAAACGCATACATCGATACATTTTCTGTGTGACTGGGCTTTTACCAAGAGAAAAAAATTGCTCAAATTTCCAAAATAGAACTCTTTAATTGGTTTGGAATAAAGTAGGATCTTTTCTCTATTAGACCTGTCCAGGTCATGGTGGAAAAGAAGATAAATTACAAAGAACCCATTTAAATTAGATAACTTTAACCTTTTTCACCCACATGAGAAACGTGTCTCTTCTTCTATGACCTACCTATTGTAAAACATTTTAATGTGAATCATACGGATATGGAGGAATAAAATTTTTTAAATTTATATAATAGTTACGCATTTACTGACAGATTTTTTGGAAAAAGTACTTAACACTTGCTGACTTTCTGTGCTTAAAAAGGTATTTAATGCCATTCAAAATGGAACGGTTTTAAGAACTAGGTTCTCAGTAGGTTTAGCCGTTTAAACGCAATCGTCGTTGAACTTTTTGTAATCCTTTGGCTTAAAGACAAAATCGATTTAATTTGTTCATCCGAGTGCGCCTCAAAAAAGCTAAAATTTGTTTTCGTAAGTTACCGCTTTTTCGTGACCATTGTTAAAGTGACTTAGTCGAAAGGGGATGTTCAAATAGTTATCAAAGAATCTCAGGCATACGCATCTAAATACATCATGCATAATGAAAGGATAGCGTAATTAACCATATGCTAATGTTGGGGTGCTCGAGAGGGGAAGTCAAGGCTGATGCAGTCCTAAGCATTTCTAACATTAGTCCCAACCAAATGATATATTTAGCCTTTTACTACACCTAAAAGGGTACTTTGCTCAATTTTAATTTCAGTCAGGATTATAAAAACATACTCAATATAAATATTCCGTTTTTATACTAACGAAAGGAAAAGGAACTTTTCGTTACTTACATTTAATCAAATGAAACAATCAGTCAAAATATATGTGATGATTTAAATCGCCCCGTTTTCTAATACCGTTCCCTAAAGGACATAAGCAATTGTTTATACAAAAGAGACTGTAATTCTTCCTAATTCAGGTTTAAATTTTGAGTTCTTTGTAATATTCCTTTTCTATTACAATATAGATTATTCCTAACAAAAGTCCAGTGTTATTAAAAAGAACAATTGGTATATTTTATATATTATGATTTTTTTAATTGGTATTATGATTAATTTGGATAAAGTGAGAGAGAAAAAAAGGAAGAGATTTTATATTTGTGATTTGATCCATTTGATCATATTTTGGGGGACAATAAAATTGTAAAGGTTTGACTGATGGATTTACATTTAAATTTGATAATGCTTAATAAAGTTGTATTTGGTTGTTAGTCTGCGAATCAGTGAACACATTTTGAACCTAACATCGAACCATACCTACACTACGCAGTAAAAGTAAACAAACCCAAATAAAGTAATTCATTATCAGTCAGTTCAACATAGTATTCTAATTAATAATATTTTTATGTAAGTATTGGTTGAGATAAAAAGCTAGTATCATGAGCGGTATTCGAACCCCCAACATTTAGCTCAATAAGCCGTTGCTCTAATCACTTGAGCTATTGTGTCTTCTGGAGTCATGATAGCTCAAGTGGTTAGAGAAATGGCTATTGAGCTGTAGATCATGGATTCAAATCCTGCATGTGACTAGCTTTTTTATCTCAACCAAGACCTTAGATAAGAAGTATACTTAATTAAATTATTAATATTATGACTACTAAGTACATATGTAGATTAATAAGCATTTTAAGTTCACTAATTTCCTGGTGCGCATGACCAATTATGATACCAATGAAAAATGGCAAAAAGGAGGGAAAATTCAAAAGGCGGGATTGAGATGGGAAGTTAGTGTTTGAGTGGATCGAGGTCACGATAGCTCAAGTGGTAGAGCAGCGGCGTATCTAGCCGAAGATCGTGGGTTCGAATCCCGCTCGTGCCATTGACTTTTTTATCTCAACTAAAAACCTTAATTAATTGTAAGCATTTTAAGGTTAAAAAAGAGTCAATATTTTATTGGAGCCACTTGGTATAATAGCTATTAAAGAATTTAAAAAAAAAAGCAACATTTGGGTGACTTTTTGCAACCCTGAAGAATCTAGATGTTTAAGATTGGAAGATCTATAATCAAGATAATAATATTACTTATAAATGATAGTGAATTATTAAATAACATTTTAGATGAATAAATGGTGGATAAATGTGAGTTAGAGGATTTATGTTTATTATTCTAAAAAATAAAACTTTGGTAAAATTATTTGTTTTAAATTTAATATTCATGTATGGAATTTGTTTTTACATTAGATTTGAAAGATCCTGACAACACAACATTGGGACCATTTTTGGACAATGATTCTATGAAGATTGTGGGAAAAGGTGACACTTTGCGTATGGGCTGTTTTGCCCCTGACGGTCTTCCAAAGCCTACGGTTTCGTGGTCGAACGGAGAAGTTGGCCCAATACTGACTATTAAAAAAGTCTCAAAAGCGCATGAAGGATATTACACTTGTATTATTACAAACATAGCTGATACAAAAAATGTAACATTTCAGTTGGCTGTAACAAGTAATTACCATTTTTCTTGAGTTAATATTTAAAACCTTTATATGTTGTACATGTTTTATTTATTTTACAGCAAAGCCTGTGATAACATTAAACCCAACATCTGTCACTGTTGATGAAGGAAATAATGCTCTTCTTCAATGTGAATTTCAAGGTAGCAGTAAATTTACTCGACTCCAATGGGTCAAAGACAACACCCCATTGAGGGGTCATAGATTTGTAGAAGGCCAATTTTCTCTTGCTATCACAAATGTTGTTCCTTCTGATGAAGGAGAATATCTCTGCCAAATCACGACAAAGCCTTTTCTTCCCGTTTATTCAACTCCAGCTGTCATCACTGTTAGAGGTAACAGTCTTAACAGCCACAATACCGATTCTATTTATTTTTTGTGTTTAAATAATCAATTTTCCTTTGACAGAAAAACTTAAATTTCTACCAAAGCCTTTAAACACTAACCTGGAGTTAGGAACAGTTCGCAAGGTGCATTGCAGAGCACAAGGATCAGTTCCGCCATCTGTTAGGTGGTTCAAGGTAGCATCAATGTTTTTTATTTTTTATGATTGTTAATTTGAATAAGTACTGTTGACCATTAATTAAAATCTAAGCCAAATCTTATTCTTGCCAAATAGCAATTCCAATTTGTGCACAATTACTATAGTTGATGTTGGGTGTTGGTCTGCGAGTAGGTGAACTCATCCTGAATCGACATATCACCCATTGGGTCTTCACTTGTGAGTTTGTTGAAGTTCTTGATGAGTTCCTCACTGAAGATGGTGCAATGCCAAAACATGTTTGAGTGGATCAACAAACCTGGGAGTGGGACCCAATAAGTGATCCAATGCCAGTTTAGCATCTTTTTTGTACTGTTAAAAACTGTTATTTTGTTTAATATATTTTTTTTTATTAACCCCGTAATCACTTTTCCAGGGTATCGACAATGAAGATAATTTTCCAGATCATGTCAGCGACATAAATGGGACTCTTTACTTCAATAAAGTCAAATTGGAGGACAAGGGAAATTATACTTGTGTGGCAGCAAACACTCAAGGAGTCATAAATGTTACAATCGAAATTGATGTAGTTGGTACGCGGACATTTTTTATTTATTATTGAATTATATTCTTGTTAACAATTAACACTCCTTTTGTTCCAGCAAGTCCAAAATTTGCCATTTTACCTCAAAATCCAACTGAAGTGCTTGAAGGTTCCCCATTAATGTTAGATTGTGTCGCTGAAGGAGACCCTTTACCGACAATACATTGGGATAAAAATTCTAACATGAAAAATGTTGATGATGTAAGGTATGAATGAAACTGTCAAAAGATATATTTATTTTAAATTAGGTTTTTTTTGTGTGGATGGCTGTGCTTTGCTGCTTATGGTTTAAAACTATCAACACATGCTTTCATTGATAAAAATTAAAGCATGGACATTTGTTTCTCTTAGGTATAAAACATTAGAAAATGGATCATTGTATATTCAAGAAGTCCAGACTTCAGACGAAGGACAGTATGGCTGTACAGCAGGAAATAGTGGTGGATTGAAAAGATATGAAGTGACGTTAATTGTAAAAGGTACAAAAATACATAAATAACTTTAGATGCCGAGAACTTTTTGTTACTGAAATAAATTACATTTTATGAACAAAATAACCTAAGCTTTTACTATTTGTTTTTGACCAGGAAATGATGGATATAAGATGTACGGTGACGGAGGTGAAGAACAGGATTCTATGCTGAGCAAAACAGTGGCTGTGACACTTGGAGCCGCAGGTGCATACATGATACTCGTTATTGGACTGATGGTTTACTGCAAGTGCCGGAGCAAGAGAAAGAAACAGACTTTGCAGGAGGTCGATCCTGGTTGTAAGTTGCACTCAAATTTTCATCCAGTTCTTTCAAAAAATTTGATTTCATTGTTGTCCAGCGCAAGAAGCCGGCCATTCTGGTGAACGAGCAAAATGCAATGGGGAGGCTGTGCACAGTGAAGATGATGGGACAGTATCCTCACAAAATTCTCAAAGTTCTTCTCATACGTATGGAAAACTCGTGATAACTCGAGATCACTTGACTGAAATGATGGTCTTAGGTAATTATTTTATTGTGAATTTATCTCTGATGTTTGACTTAACTAAAAAGTCATTCAAAATTGCTTTATTTTGTACTTTATTATTTAAGTAGAAACTAGCTTTATAATAGGGCCTCCTGATATTCACAACTGTTATTAGCATATTATTCAGCCTTCTTCCTTCACACATAGATGTAAAATTTTATAAACATTTTATTTTTAAATTGTGGCCTCACTGGTCAGGTAGATGAAATTGTAATTTGGTCATGTAGACACACTGAGGATCAGGCCAAAATGTGTCTAATTGACCTGTTAAAATAGACCAAAATGATCAAAAATACCATTTCATTTTTAGTTGTTTCTGATCATTTTGGTTATCTTATCCTGGTTTCGTCTGTCAGATGCCTTAAGGCCCTAGGGAAGGAAAGTGAAGCAAACCGTACACTGAAGATGGTGAGAATACGAAACCAGTGTGATACCAAATCAGCATCATTATTCTGACCAAAATCATTGGAAATAAACTAATAATTCTTTTATTCTTACTAAACAAGCGTTAGGTCACTTATTGTGTCCTTTATTCATCCATTCGTGGTTACCACTCAAACACGCTTTAGCATTGCACCTTCTTTAGTTCCTCTCTGAACTGAAGACCCAAAGCCGGTTCAGGATGAGTTCTCCAACTCGTAGACAACATCCAGCAACAATTCTAATTATTTTATTATTACGATATTCACAAAATCTGAAAATGGTGTAATATTATAAACTCTGGGAGCTTTTAACTTTGTACCAGTTTAGAATTATTGTATTTGTATTATTATTATTATATATGTATACATTTTAGGTCAAGGACAGTTTGGAGATGTCTGCCTTGCAAGGGTTGAAAATGATGACAAATGTGGCGGGGTGGTGATGGTCAAAACCTTGCTGGAGACCAGAGATGAAGGTGTTCTCCACGAATTCAAAAGGGAGCTAGACCTTTTTGGTAGAGTGAATCATGCAAATGTTGTAAAACTAGTTGGGTTGTGCAGAGACCAATATCCGCATTATATGGTTCTTCAATATACAGATTGGGTAATAAACAAATTAAAATTACTTAAATCGAGTGTAAAACTTGTTTCAATTTTTAACTGAGAACTGATTTAATACTGTTAAATTATAGGGTGATTTGAAACAAATGCTCTTGGCGACAAAAGGCGAAAGGAAGGATAAACCAAAACCTCCAGAATTAACCGCAAAGATAATGTTTTCGTTGATCAAAGATCTCTGTTTGGGAATGGAACATATATCAAATCATAGGCTCGTTCACAGAGACTTGGCTGCAAGAAATTGTTTAGTTTCTTCAAATTTATCTGTCAAAATTTCCCTTTCTGCCTTGTCCAAAGACGTCTACAGAAAAGAGTACTTCCACCATAGGAATAAGGTGAGCCCAGCAATTGTGTTTTTCATTAACCTTGATCACGGTCTCATTTTTAATTTTCAGTTGATGCCGGTTCGCTGGATTGCTCCAGAAATTGTATCGGATGATGATTATTCAACAAAATCAGATGTTTTTTCATTTGGAGTGACAGCGTGGGAGATATTTGCACGTTGTGACATGCCTCATGCAGGCTGCAGCGACCAAGAGGTCGTCTCAGGTCTTCTGGAAAATGGCGGTCTACAACTTTTACACCATGAAGGAACACCACAATCCCTGATTTCTTTAGTCAACGAATGCAGGGCAGCCAATCCGAGTGATAGGCCGTTGTTTTCTAGTCTTGTCATTAAAATCGCTGACATTATAGATAAACTAGAATAAAACACTTTTTATGCTTTTAAGAGTCTGCAACAAACACTGATTGTTTTTTCAAACAATAACCACTGAATCAGAGAGGATGCATTTAAAAACAAATGTTATGGTATATTTTTGAAAAATACTTCATTGTACTCTGTAAAGGGCAAAAATTTTCTCACAGTATTTTTATCAATGTATATATATTGGGTTGTCCGGAAAATAATGCAGGATTTTAAGTTTTCATTAAAAAAAATCTATATAAAATATTCTGTTTACGTTTACAGGATTACTCATTTGTATGAATGTCAACACTTATTAATCCTCTTCCAAATGATATTGTTTGTTTACCTCTGTAGCATTCCGCTACTTGGAAATAATTCAGTCATCCTTATAATGTCAAAGCGAGAATTTCGTACGATTTTCTTTTACGAGTTTAAACTCGGCCGAAGCGGAGCCCAAACGGCTAGAAACATTAACCAAGTCTGGGGCGAGGGTTGTGTTAATGAGTGCACTGTGCAAAGGTGGTTTAAAAAATTTCGGGAGGGAGATTTCAGCCTTGAAGTTGAAGAAGGTCGTGGAAGGCCTTCCTCTCTTAATGATGATGTTCTGCGATCAGTGGTGGGTGCAGAGCAACTCAAAGTCAGTAAAACGACCGTCGCTGACCACCTCAAGGCGATTGGAAAAGTGAAAAAACTCGAAAATTGGGTTCCACACTCATTAAACGATCGCCAAAAAAATCAGCGCTTTGATGTTTGTGCATCACTTCTTTGTCGAAACAAAAATGACCCATTTCTGGCCAGAATTGTTACATGTGACGAAAAGTGGATTCTCTACGATAACACTAGACGTTCTGGACAGTGGCTCGACAAAGGAGAAGCTCCAATACATTTTCCAAAGCCCCCAACTCATCAAAAAAAGGTAATGGTTACGGTATGGTGGGCTTCATTTGGTTTAATACACTACAGCTTCTTAAATCCTGGCGAAACCATCAATGCTGAATCATACTGTAACCAAATTAATACCATGCATCAGAAATTGGCAGTAATGAAGCCCTCTTTGGTCAATCGGAAAGGGCCCATTTTGTTGCATGACAACGCTCGACCACATGTGTCACGTGTAACGTCACAAAAATTATTGGAGCTTGGCTATGAAACTTTGCCTCACCCACCCTACTCTCCGGACCTCTCGCCTACTGACTACCATTTTTTTAGACACCTGGACCACTACTTAGAACACATAATATTCAAAAATCAAACGGAACTGGAAAATGCATTTATTGACTTTATCAATTCTAAAAATTCTGAATTCTACTCAGACGGAATTAATAAGTTACCAACACGTTGGGAGAAATGTATTGAGAGTATGGGAAATTATTTTGATTAAAGAACATTGCTTTAAAGTAACTAGTTTCTTTTTTTTTGTTTAATACCAAAATCCTGCATTATTTTCCGGACAACCCAATATTTATTGTATTTATATCAATATATTAAAAGATTTTTTTGAAATTTAAAGAAAAAAGCTCAAACAATTTTAGGGCCTAATTAATACTTCCTTTTTTAATAAATATTTTGTATTAAATGTTTCTAAACTTTGCACCAAGTCCTTTAGCTTTTATGAACTACATTGTTTCTCTAGTCTTCTTTGCAAAGAATTATCTTAAAGTAAAGGATAAACACTCACCTACTTTTAAACAGATATATAATTTTTTAAACCTTTTTTACTGAATTTTCTAAAAACCTTTTAAACGTGTAAATACAATTAAGTCACTACTGCCTTAAATGCTGCAGATAGAAAACCTAGGCTGGCCCGTTTTCCGGCATTGGTGTCTTTGGCTGTTTCTTTTCCTTTTTTGGTTCTTTTCACCGGTTAGTTTTTATTTGTCATATAGTGTGAATGTTACTCGACTTTATTGACATTTTCATATTTCATCTTTACACAATTGCTCAACTTTTTCATTCCTATAGATAAGTGTTAAAGTAGTGAATCATCTCTATTAAGTTTTATAATTTTGCCGCATTCTAGGGTGAGAATATGCGGACTAGAAATTTCAAAAAGAGACGTAAATTTTGTTTTCTTATGTTTTAGAAATTTTGCTAAAAGTGTTATTTACCCTCATAAAAAATTACGTATTTCAATCTTGTTGTATTCTTATTAAATATAAATCACAAATGTCAAACAAAAATTATTTCGAGAACATTGTTATTTCTAAATAATAAATGAAGGGGTCAGGGGAAAAACAGTACATCTCCATTTTTCTAAATTTTACAGGAGAGCAAAAAATCGATTTACCATTATGTTTGAAGCACTAGGCTGTTCTTAAAAATTTAATGAAAAATACAGCTATTAAATTTAAACACCTTTCACATCAAATCAAAAATTAAATATTGAAAATATTTTTGCAATATGGATAAATTTTCATTTGGAAAAACAAATCGTGTACTTAGCCTGTTTTTCCCCACAACGTTTCAAATAATTGAAAACTTAATCTTCTGTAAAATATTCCATCCATTGGTGAATTTTTCAAAAGAAATGTGCCATTACTTTTATTAGGTTTCGTGGTCCGCTTGACCAAATAAATTCTTTCCAATTAATTAAGGTTTTGGTTGAGATAAAAAAGTCAGTGTCACAAGCGGGATTCGAACCCACTATCTCAACCAAAACCTTAATTAATTGAAAACAATTTATTTGGTCAAGCGGATCATGAAAACTAATAAAATGTAATAAGCAAAATGAAGTATGCTTCACTAAAGCTCTCCGTGGCCCCATCATTTGTCGCCGAGAATCAAATAGATTACACGACATTTGAAAAATGGAAAAAACGAGGGAAAATTCAAAAGGTGTGGGGATGAGATGGGAAGTAGTGTCCGAGTGGATCGAAGTCATGATAGCTCAAGTGGTAGAGCAGCGGCGTATTTAGCCGAAGATCGTGAGTTCGAATAGGAATTCCTCTCTCCGAAATGTTGGAAGGGTTTTAGGTTTTTCACAAAATAGGTTTAGAGATATACTCCGGACTTACAATTTTAAGCCGTACCGCTCTCATCTTCGGGACTGTGATTATGACAGGCGTCTAACACTTTGACGCAGTTGTTCAGCTGATGTTGCTGGGTTATGATTAGCACAGACACGTCTTTTAATTGGCACCACAGAAAATAGTCAAGTGGAGTTAAATCGGGTTTTCTTGCACAAATGTCGATTTGGGAGGCTGAAAAAAACGTTCTTCCATACACCCTATGGTCTGATGTATCAAAGTTCACCTGTAATGGCGTACTAAACTGTGGTATTTTCAAACGCGGGCAAAAGAAAATCCAATAACTTAGTTCGCTTGTCATCATCAGGTGGTTCAATACCAATTTCACCCAACGACCAAGTTCACACACAATATCAACGTTTTGTGTGAACTTCTCGGAAATAAATTAATTGGGCCTTATTTCTAAGAAAATAATTTCAATGAGGCTCAGTTCCTCAATTTTGTGAGGGAGGTTTAAGTCACACTATTTGATTATGTTCCTCTGTAATAATTCTGAATAATTCTTCAGCTTGACGGATACCCCGCACACAATTCTTTTCAAGTGAGACGTTATTTGAATCGTCAATGTGATTAGTAAATAGCAAACTAAATGACTGTTTCAGCGTAAAAAATCCTTTAAAATGATGCGTCACGATGTATAGGGTCGAATTTGAAATTCTCAAGTTGAACTAGGCCTGAGGTACCCTTATGATTTTTTTTACAAAAAAAGATAAAATCTTGAAACTAAACTATTTTTTTTTTTTTTTTTTTGATGGGGTCATTAGTTCAAGAGAAATTCAACCGGGCTATCTAAAATGGTCACCCTGTATATATTTATCTCGTGGCCTAATATATGCATAAAAAACATAGAGATAGATAGAGAGAAATTTTAAAATATTCAACGTAAAAACAAACAAAACACATAAAATAGAGCATAAATAGAGTATACAACAACCCAAGCAGTAAAATCGGACGAACAAAAATTCGACGTCATTTTTCTGCTTTGTTGTTACATAATTGGAGGATAAGATTGTTACAAGGACATACTGTCTCTTGTTTATGTGTTTTTTTATTATTATGTTGAATATTTCTCTTTTTTTGTGTTATTTGGACAAAGTAAACATCAAAGACAGAACAAGATAGGTGAAAAAAGTTGAATATTTGCGAAAGGGTTGAGAATACGAACATTCTGTTGCATTTGAGGTAGAAGCACTTGACGAACTTTGTCGTACGAGCAGCGAATAAACCTGCATATGAAAATCAATCATAGGATTAAAGAACTACCTCTTAAAGTAAACAAAATATTTCGTTTTTCTGATTCAAGTTTGATAATAATGTCTCAAGTTGGAACAAGAGTAGGTGAATTGAAAAGTTTTCTTTGAGTTGTAAGTGTGCCGGGGGCGGCAAAACCGGCGTCGCCGCACCCGATGCACAGGCGTGGACCGAGGTGCCGACTGCGTGCATCAGCACATGCGCGTCTGGATGGATTCTCCAGTCCGTCGATGATCGTCGTTCAGCCGTCGGAACGCGGTTAGACCGGAAGAAGATTAATATGCTTCTTAACTTCCTTCATTCATCTCATGGTAAGTGCAACGTGTACTCTTTTCCCTTACTGCACGGTAGAGTCCGACTAAACATTTATGTGTTCGGCTCGGGGGCAAATCGCGTAGATTTTTATACCCTCCTGTGACCGACCCTATTGATGAATTAAGCGTAAAACAAAAGTCTAAAAATACACTTCATTCCCTACCAAGTATCATTAAAACAACACACACAAATTAATATAAAATATGGAATATTAAAAAAACTTACTTTATCCTTATTCTTGAAACATTACTTTTCCATAATTAAACAAAAAATAACAAACCCCCATAAATAACTTTTATATTCATATCATCCACCGTATAACTAGCATAAAGGATATTTTAATATCGAAGTAATTAAAAGCATCCTACGTAGTCCTTGGATTGAGAGCTGTCAAATAGTTTCAAATACGAGAACTAGGTCGGTCTTTGGCATGCAAGCCTTTTAATAGTAGGCCAAGATACGAGTTTACGCACATTTTTCATAGCCCGTAGCATGTACAGTTTTTAAAAGCTCGTCCTTCTTTTGAAGCAATGGCGATAAAGGAAAAGCATGAGTATGCCCAAGAGGTTGTTACGTACAAATTTAACGATAAAGAATGAAATAATATTGTTACTTTTTTATTATTGTTTTTTTAAACAAAAATTTTATAATGTTATGAATATTGATTTTAATACGAGAGCTTGTTTCTATCTTGCGTGCACTTACGAAATTACCACAGACATTACCATAAGAAAATTAGAGCCTTGAAAATTGGACAGGAAAATCGAAAAGTAGGCTGCGATACGTTATGGTCTGTTCTTTTATACATTTACCGTTAATGTTAACTTAATCAATTATTAACTTTATAAAAAAAGAACGTTTATTTTAATTTATATTTTATTTGGTTTTACTTTAGTAAAAAACCTTTTAAATATAGATGTAAACAATAAAATTTTTATTATTTATTTATGGCATATTTAAAAAAAATAGTAATGTTTTCTGTGTCTAATGCAATGTATACATATGGATTGGCTGTAAACATTTTGAGACATATACAAGATCTAAAAATAAATTTTAGAAAAGAATTACTAGATAAGCAAGAAAACTCTGCCTTGGCGCGTATATGTGTGTGAGGGAAAAAAAGAGGGATTGAAAGGGGGGGAGGGAGAGAGAGAGAGGGAAAGAGAGAGGGAGAGAGAGAGAGAGAGAGTGAGAGTGAGAGTGAGAGAGAGAGAGAGAGAGAGAGAGAGAGAGAGCGAGTGAGTGAGTGAGTGAGTGAGGTGATGGAAGAGGATAGAGATTGAGAGAATAGAGAGCGCGAGAGAGAGCGAGAAAAGGAGGAGAGATAGATAGATAGATCTATAAATATAGATTTATATGACTATAAATAATAAGCAAATGTATATAATATTTAATTTTAAATTTGGTTTTTTATGAACGATCTTCATAATCACAAGATAAATTACTAAACGATTAAACTGGAGTAAATAACAGATTCGCTGCCTGTTTAATTAAAAAAATTTAATTTTTAATCGGCGTTTATTTCTGTAACCAGGTAATAATAGATGATTTAACAAATGTATATTTTATTTTTGGACGGGCGAAAATGTAAATTGACTTTATTACATGGGAAACCGTCATAGCGTAATTAATTCGAATCTGTGACAACTCGAATGACACGTGTGTAGTAATTCAAAATATGTTTTAATATCAAAATCGAAATATAACCTCTTTGACAGTTAAACTATTTCTAGAAATGTATTTATTTACTTTATGAGTTGACATGAACGCTGAAAGGCCGACTTATCTCAATAATGCCTATTTATATTGCTTATAAGTTCACTTTTTATTTTAAATATGATATTGTATCAGTGGATAGAAACCATCAAAGCGATCTAAAACTATCTCTGACGTATCAAAGAAAATGCTAAAGATTCAACATAATTATTGAAAAAAAGAACACAATGCAAATATAAAAAGAAGAAAAACCTGGAGCTATGCTATGGTATACAGATGGCTCAAAGATAGGAAATAATACGGAAATGGGCCTGACCACATGGCTGTACGCTCTACCATAATCATATTTCAAGCCGAATGTCTAATCATAGAAACATGTGCACATGAAATAAATATTAATTATCTCAAGTGTGCAATAATAATAATGTTATCAGAGAGGAGGCTCTAATAGCTTTTCTACGTGATTAACTAAAAACTAGTCTGGAACTGCCGAAATACGATTAAAAAAAGGATCTGCAAAGAGCCAAGCCTCTCATGACTTGAGGATATTTCAAGCAACTAGGCAGCAGCGTTTTGAAACTGCACATACGCCTGAAGCCCTCTTGTGTCATAAATATTAGCCATATCAAAAAACAACTATCATTTTGGGTTACTAAAGAACACAATAAACACTGAGAACATATGGTATACCGAGTAGTATGTTTTTCTCAAAACCAACCCAAATAATTCTTCTTACTTAGCAGAAAAAGACTAAAAATCCTAACGCGTACGTTTAACAAAAAATGGGAAAATCTACAGATCACCAATGACGACTGTGTCAAGAGGAGACAGAAACAATGGACCACATCCTTTATAAATGCCAGACAATAGAAAGGAAAAGCTATAGTACCTATGAACACCATCTCCGTACAATGAATTCCTGAGAATAATTCTTTACTTCATTAAAGAGACAGAAATCCTCCAAGAAAACCGGTAGTACAGTTCGAACCCAATAGATGGAAGTTAATTTCGAATAAAAAAAGATGTTTGGTTGTACATTACGAGTACCTTATTCTCATGGTACGGTTATTAACTTATTATATATTTATAATTTCTGGCCAAATTTACTTAATATTTATTGATTGAAAAGTCTATTTTAATCTAAAAATAGGGCGGTTTCGAACCTTATTCTTTTTATACTTGTATAATTTCCATTTCATATGTTGTACGTTTAGTACTTATATTGGATTTTAGACACTTTAAAAGCAATAAATTGAAAGTGATAGTACAGAAATTACTGGTTAAAAATGTTGACTTTGACTTCATCATGATAAGGCATGACTTCAGCACAAAACAGAATAATCTAAATTATTTCTAATTTAATCTTTAAGATATTGTAGTGAATTTATGTCTTTTACTTAAAATAATTGGAAAGTTAGATGGCACACAGAATTAAAATTAGTACACGAAAATAAAGTTCAATAAGTATGATTTGCTTTAAGGTTTATTCCAGAAACAGATTTTTTTCTTTCAATACGATTAATTTTTCTTTTATAATTTATTCTCTTTTATTCATTTTTATCCATTATTTTCATAATTTATTTAAAAAATATATTCTTTTTTGGCGAAAAAGGTTTGTTATAAAAAAAATTAGCATATAAAGAGAGAAGACGTTGCTTGTGTGAATTTCTGAAATGATAGATGAATACCGATAAAATCTTCATGTTGAAATCTTAGTTTTGTAAACGCTATCCAGAAGGTTAATTATTCTTTAAACTTGATGAAATGAAAATGAATAGAACAAAGGCCGTGAGATTGATTTGCGTTCAAGCGAGACTGATTTGGGACTTTTCGACGTCGCTACTTCGTCGTCACGTTGTCAAGTTGGTGTCTTACTTCGGTACGACGTGCTAGACGAAGTTCGGCTGATGACAAATACCGACCGAAAATGAACACGAGTATACATTTCATTAAATGGGACAAGCCAAGCGTTAATAGGAAATCATTACTGAGTGACGGGAAATTGCCACCCCCTGTAAGCGGCCAAATTCAAACAGGTTTTGATGAAAAGTACTAAGACCGAGAAGATATCCGATCCAGACACAATTAAAAAACTTGTATCATTCTAACAAACTGTGTCACGTGCAATAAATCGGTTTTGTCTTCCTTGAATCAATGTCCGAAAAAGTTATTTGTTAATGATTGTTTGTTATTTTGTTAATGATTGTGAAACTTTGATTTTTTTATCCTCTTCTACATCCAAAGATTAAAATAAACTGGACATTTGTATTTGTTTAGTTATTTTTCATAATAAACAAGTGTAAAGATTAATAGTTAACTTCAAATGTTTCTTAATGACCTGTTGTCTCACAATTTGTCGAAGTCGTGAGGAGCGTTCAAGAATGAGGCAGTTAGAAAAAAAACTTTTTCATTTTTTGCCGACGTTTCTACCTTTATTCGGGTCATCTTCAGGTCATAAAGTGTGGTGCTGTTCTTGTGGTGTCATAATGGTTTTGTGTGAAAGTGTTGTGATGTCAGTTGGTAGCATGGTGAAGCAATTTCTTTCAACTTTTGAATATTGCCTGTTAGTGTTTTAATGTTTGCAATGCAAGTTTAGTAACATTGCAATATTTAAGATGTTAGTTTTAAATTTGTTAGTGGCTTTCTGTATGTTTTTGATGTTTGTGTTTGGTTGTGTTACTGAGGCGTTTGTGAAGTTGAAATTTTTTTTTATGTGAATAGGAATTCCTTTGTTTTGTCTACATTTTAGTAAGAAAATCCGTTGATTTGTGGCAGATGCTAGTTTCTTCTGGTATCTTGCTATATTTTTTGGGTGTGTCAGTGGCTTGATGTCCATGTTTGTTGGTGATGTGTTCGTAAAAACCCATGTGAGTTATGTTGTTCCTCTCGGGTAGAAATGTGTCTTTCTTAGCGACCTGCTGTTTTATAATTTGTTAAAGTCGTAAGGAGCGGTCAAGCATGAGGTAGTTTAGAAAAACAGCTTTTTCATTTTTTTTTGCCGACGTTTCTACCTTTATTCAGGGCATAAAAACAAATATCTTAAATATTGAAATGTTAATAACACTTTCACACAAAACCAGTATGACACTACAAGAATAACACCAGATTTTATGCCCTGAAGATGACCCGAATAAAGGTCGAAACCCCGGCAAAAAAGAAAAAGGTGTTTTTCTTAACCAATTCTTTCTTGACCTCTCCCCACGACTTGAACAAATTAAAATGTAAACACAACATTAAAACTTGTTGATTACGTTTAGAGAGTGTTAATCCTTTTACACTC